AAAAAATTGCAAATTCACATTGTAAAGAGAATTGTTTTTTTAAAAAAAAAACAATTCTCCTTGTCACATATTATGAGGAAAAGAACAATCAATCGTCAGTGACATCGCGTGTTCGGGTTGTTGATTTAATGTTTATTTTTGTTTTTAACTTGAATATAATTCAATATTGTCTTTTGTATTCTTAAAAGTTATAATGCATTTATTTCTTTTTTTGATTTAAACTGCTTTCTGTTCTTTACAAACTGGGAAACAGATGATTTCGATGATAACATTTATCAAGAATTAAGTCAGAAATGCTTTATAAATATTGTATAAAAAACATTGTGAGAAATTATTTACTTTTTATCAAATCCTACAATTATCTGCAAAGTTTTTATACGTAATCAGGGAAATTTAGAATACGTTGTAGAAATAAAGAACTTGCGTTACATTGAGGCAGTATTAAAAAATGAAGGCAAGCTGAACAATGTAATGTTGTGTGTTAATCATGAATCTAGATTATTGGGTTTATTGGATCTGTGTATTAAATTTCACATTTTTAATTAGAAATAGAGTTATTAGAAGGTATGTAATGTACTGTACATGGACTTCCTGCCATTCATCGGTACGATCTTTTGTTTTAAACCTTTTTACAATGTGGGCACTAAAAAGAAGCAGGTTACCAGCTTAAAAACACTAGCTGTTAACACTCTTTTACAATCTACTTTGTTGTTACGAAGAACATTTTATCACTAAATAAGAATGGAAGGACATTGCAACTAAAATAAGGACTGTCTTTACCAAATAAAGATCGATGATAACACTACCTAATGCATAGATATATATAAATTGATGTTACAGATCTAATGCAAACTTTGTAACTTTTCAGGGAAAGCGAAAACATAATAAAATATTTTGGTTTGAACAATTAAAACTCATTATCATAATTAAGATGTTTACGGTTTTAAAAACTTTGGCTTTAATAATTTTTCAGTGTTAAAGCGTATGTATCTTTGAAATTGAAGAAACTTGACATTTAGGCCAGAAAGTGATTTCATAACTTGACAGGTTTTCGCTGTAAGTTGGATCAAAAATGGATTTAAAATTCAGTAATTCCAAATTACGGGTCAAATATTTGAGTAATTAAAAAGACCAACTATCAGTGTTTAGTGGTTTTAGTCACTCGGACACTCGAACACGAATGGACGATATAAAGAGATGTCCTCCAAAGAGAGGTTTAGTGAAAAATCGCGTTTCTTTAAATGTAGCTTGCACTATTTTGGTTTATGAACACAATAAATACACATATCACTCAAAGATAGCAATAATTGATGACTTAACCTACAAGTATTATTATTTTTTTTAAATTCAGTTATATTTGTTTTTTAACATCGATTACACCAATCTACTTATTATGTACAGTACAATTAAATCTTGTGTTAGGTTTGCTCCTCCTGCATCTTTTCTATTAATAAACTGCTCGAGTTTGTGTACGTAGTGCATGACTATTAGTGGCTCTGTAGTACGTGTCATTTCGGTTGTAATACCATCGCTGTCCTCATCATCACAACTGCCTTTATTTTTCTTTGAATTTTAGAAAGTGACTGAAAGATTGTATTTGTATTTTGTCTTGTGCATTATCGCTTCTCTAAGAGCTTCTCCAGAGACTCTGTTACTCTAAAAACTTGAAATCTGGGTATTATGTATAAGTAGTTGTTAATATTCAAGTATATTATTCTTACTACATAATTTATTAGCTTAAAAAAATATGTACAGTGGATATTTATTCGAATCTCTCAACATCAAATACGTTGGTTATATCTAAACATTCTCGTGCATTTAAAAAAAGTTATTAAATCATTTAATTGTAGAAATTTAACATTTAATGCATTTCATTTTAAAAGCATTCGTTTATTATTAAAGAGAATTAAAATAGATTGTAAAAGTATATTTTTCTTTAAAAATAAAATCGACTTTTAAATTTTCTCCTTTATAAAATTAAATTAAAAATTCATCGAAATAATAAAAGAATTTTTATCTACACGACATTTAATATAAAAAATTATTTTAATTATATTTATATGAAGAAACTTGATAATAATATTTAAAAAATTAATATGATATCAAAGTGTTTTATTAATTTTTCTAGATGCATTCATTGTGTCAATAAGATTTAGTATATTTGTGTATACGACTGAAGAAATAATAGCTAATTAGTTAAAATAATATTT